TTTGTTTCAGTTTTTTTTTAAATTTTTAAAACTTCGCTATGGACACAAGCAATGCTCCTTTCTCATCGGAGGGTGAAACCTCCAATTCCTGTCAGAAACAAAACATATCTGCACGAGGAAATACACAAAGGTCAAAAAGAATGGTTTCACCAATTATAGAAACATACGCTCCGCCCCTGTGGTGTTGAGCACTGTTGAAACCTGGGTATACCCACTTATGTGCACGAGGAAATATATATATATTTTTTTCACTAGAGCCACGTAAACTCGTCATGTGTGAGCCATGAATAAGGGGAGTGGTGGCATGGTCTGGGATGCTCTGCCGACCTTGGGTCTCGGCTTCATCACAACCAGGTGCGCCAATAGCAGAGAGAGAGGGAGGGGGGGGGGGGGAACTGTGGCGAGTAATACCGTCTCAGACCAATGTTTAATGGTCTTCGGTTCTTCCCTGTTGTTTGTTTTGCACTCGTCAGATGTCTACGGGTTTGCCAACATCCGCTGTCGCCGTCCTTGTGATTGCTAGTTGTATCTGCCTGGCAGTGCGAGTGCCGCAGGCGGGAGCGACATGCACGATGCCGGTGGCAAACTACATCGGCGTCACCTGCAGCTGCATCCATGGAACGCTGATCTGCAACAACAAGAAGATCACCACCGTGCCGAGCTTCACCAGCAACGTGTCCCAGTTTCAAATCCTGTAAGTCACCCGCCATGCGCAGATCTTGGGGGAGGGTAAAGGGGCACATGAGTACCGGTACAAGCTGTGAGCAACTAACATTGCCACCACTGTTGCCAGGGTAACAAGCATACATGTACAGTAAAACCTGTCAAGGAGACCACCTGTCAAGGAGACCACCTGTCAAGGAGACCACCTGTCAAGGAGACCACCTGTCAAGGAGACCACTCGGACAAGGCGACCACCTGTCCAAGAAGACCGCTGAAACCAGGATCAAGGGAAGCTATTTCCAGTCAAATGACCCTGGATAAGGAGACCACCTGGTAACAGAGACCACATTTTGAAGGTCCCTTGAGCGGTCGTCTTGGACAGGACCCACTGTACTCTCATCAATCAAAGCACAGGGTTACGTACCGTATTTCCCCGATTACAAGTCACACACCCTTTTACACTAAACTTCAGGGTAAAAAAGGGGGTGCGACTTACAATCGAGCATGACTTACTACTGAAGTGAAAATATCTAATCAATATTGCTCAAACCTTAAAATGGGGGTGCGCCTTTTTTTCCGGGGAAATACGGTGAGTTATCATCAGTGTTCTATGTCTCACATGGAGAAGAAGAAGACCAAGGCAGTGCGAGTAGGCGCACGGCTATCCATGCATCATCAAGACACGTGGCATGTACTGTAGAAGTCATTATTCTAGTGAGGTGAAAATTTAACGGCTTCCTAAAAACAACTGGTTAGCGTGTGCAAAAGTGAACGATTCTCACTCATTCTTACCGTTCAGCATAGAACTGGGAGAGAAAAGTACTGGTACGTACTTCCTCCGCGTCATCGAAATTGTCGCAGTTTGACTAGTGACTTGTCACTTGTTACTGACAACTCCATAAACTAAGCCATTCGAAACTTATTACACAGTATGATAGTCTGAAGACTAGAGTAACGTTCCAGGACAATTGGACTGAGAGTTTTCATGCAGAGATGAAGTCCTCGTCGTCGCTGATGTCAATGGACGCAAAAATATCGTTCCCAAATATTTCAAGGAAGGTTGAAAGTTGGTCGCGCCTCATCTCAAACGCTTTGACTTTCTCCACAGGACAAGAGCTGCTATGCTTGTCGTCTGCTAGCTCTGGATGATTTCTACTTCACCACCAACGAAGCCTAGTAAGAATACACGATCGTTGCGAGGTCGGTTGATTACCGTCGGCGGAATCACCTCGGAATAACCTCGATCTTGAAATGAACTTTTTTTTAGCCGTGGCATGCCCACAGCTCATGCAGGTAAGTGTAGTATCACGTCCAGCGCGCCCTCTTTTTCAGCACTGGGTACGGCACCTGCGCGTGCATCACTAGTACTAAACTAGCACTACGTGTAGAGTCTACACGGCTCTTGCAGGTACAATCATGTACTAGTACTTAGTAGTAGTACTGAGTGTCTCGGCCAGAGCGACAAATTTTATCGCTGTTGCAGGCATTTAGTTTGCCGACCCCTCGATGTTTCTCCAAGCGCTGCCACTTGTTCCACGAAGTCATTCTCACCCCAGCTAAGGTAAAGCAGTGATGGGGCTTGAGGGAATGGCCATAAGCACGAGAAATGTGCAGGCTGCAACACCTGACTGATCTCAGCGAGTCGAAATTACCAGCGCAGCGACATCAGCGAAGAAATTGCGTCTAGTTCAAAAATTCCAGCTTCCAATAACAGAAAATAGAACTTTGCCGTCACCCTATACTGATGACTATCGCCTATGTGTTATCCCTTGCCTCTGGTACGAGTGCTGGTGAGTAAATACCGCATTTTACATCAAAAGTCAAACTGCGACAATTTCGATGACGCGGAGGAAGTATATTGATGTTTGCTTAGCGTTTGTTCCTACGGTGTACTCCTGTTGTGGACGTAGAAATCCAGTCGAATGACCGGGGCCGGCGCCATAAGCGCGTACAGAACGTTGCTGTCGTTGCATGCAGTGCAAGTGAAGTGCGCAATCATGTTGATCCGATGCGACCAGCACGTGGTTGTGTGTACCGCTTCACACGGCTGCATGGCCAGCGCCCTGGGGCGGCTAGACGTGTCACCGGACCACAACAGGAGTTGTGTGCATACAAAGTATGTGTTATAAAGTAGCCATACTACGCTAGAATAGTATTGAGTTAGAAACAAGAGTACGACAATTGGGCGCCCAACTGATGGAGAACTGAGATAGTACCAGGCCTACTACTTTCTAACTCAGAAATAGCGAGAAACTCGGCCCTTTGAACATGTTAAGATGGCAATGAACAGAATCAGCTGAAGCGACATGTTACAAAGGTTTTATTGAAATATAAAGTGGTGATGGACACAGAAAATAACTGTGATGGAAGTGTACTGTGAAAAACAATAATAGGAACGATGAAAAATACAAACATGCATCAAACTAGCTTTCGCACAACGCTCATCAGGAAGCATCGTTGTTGTCACCTCGCCGCCTGTTCAAATATTTGAAAATTTGAAAATATAGTAATTTATACTAGTTTGAACTCGGATGGTGGGCCAATTCAATTATGGTGAAAAAGGAGAAGGACAAAATGTTACGAGTTATGACTAACTGTCCACCAACGTAACCAGATCTTATACAGGTTACGTTGGTGGACAGTTAGTCATAACTCGTAACATTTTGGCCTTCTCATTTCCCTTATAGTTATAGTACTTTTCAAGTATCGTACCCAACTTGAAAAAGGATGTGCTACACGTGACCCTCGATTTGTGTTAGCCTTCCCTATGATCCACCATTTTACACAGCGGGCACGGTCTGTTTGTGTGTGTGTGTGTGTGTGTGTGTGTGTTTGTGTGTACGTGTGTGTGTGTGTGTGCACGTGTGTGTGTGTGTCTGTGTGCATGCGTGTACGTGTGTGTGTGTGCACGTGTGTGTGTGTGTGTGTGTGTGTGTGTGTGTGTGTGCATGCGTACACATGTGTGTGTGTGTGTGTGCGCGCGCACGCGTGTGTGTCGCACTGTTTCTTGTCTTCTCCTCAATTCTTGTCTTCTCCCTCTGTCGTTACAGTGTATTGGATAAGTGCTCACTGTCGACACTTCCCAGCCTGGCTTTCTGGCAGTTTTCCGACATGAAGGGTTTGTAAGTGAAACAAGCTGCACATCGCATGCCTGGTTTGGGTATCAACAAGTGTACATCTTTAGAGTGTGACACTGTGATCTCTATCTTTTTTTTATTAAGAGGCCAGGTGTATGTCATTGGGGCTATGAATATTTATATTTTTGTATTCATTTTTCTACTATGTTCATATTCCTAGCTCGGAAAAAATTATTAATATAGAAAGACAATGGTACTGAGACTAGGACAAGCATGAGTTCCACTGAGCAGGGGCTGCACCGTGATGCAGCAGTGATGGTGGGGTATTGATGGTATATACATCTGCGCAATTTGATATAATAAAGAGGGAGGGGGGGGGGGGGGTGTTAAAACCTGACTATTTCCCGCTTGGCTTGAGGCTAGTTTTCACATGGAAGCGAAGTTCCGGTGCTCCGAAAATTCAGGGATTGTACCATGACGCGATGTGAGTTGAGACGAGCTGACGCGGTGTTAGGAAGGCAGCACACACACACATATACACACACCACACACACGGACACGCACACGCACACATACACACTCGCACATACACACACACACACATACACACACGGACACACACACATACACACACACGCACACACACGCACACACACACACACACACACACACGGACACGCACATGCACACACACACACACACACATACCGGTATACACATACACATACACACACACACACACACATACCCCCCCCCCCACACACACACATACACATACACACACATACATAATCATACACACATACTCACCCATAACCATAGGCCTAGCCTATTCACCCTCTCCATGTTGCCATTGCGTACGACCTTGTGCAAAACCTAATTCATGTTGTTTTTCTGTATGGTTGTTCTTTTTGTATCGTTTCTTCCCAAGGCTACTGGACAGCAATGGTCTGCAGACAATAGACAAGAATGCCTTCAAAACGCTCCACATCGCCACGCTGTGAGTGAACCATGCCAAAGCACACACGCTACCGCACTGTCTTGTGTTAATTACGTGTAT